CAACGGCTCAGACAAACGGCGTTGGCCGTCACCGTTGGCCCGAATCACGAGCGCGGGCGCCGATCGGGGCCGCCATGGGGCTGATCTGTGCACTGCGTGTCGACAGGGACGATATATGAGGCGGGCGCACAAGGGACACGGGACGCGTCAGACCGGGACTGTCCAGGCTGAGTCTCGCTTGATCCTCCAGCATCCGGCCGGAAATGACACGAGCGGAGCAGCAGTGGGGCTCGGGATTGGAGGACGGAGCGTGGCTGGGTATCGCCGCTGACATCGGCTTGGTTCGCTCATATTTTTTTAAGGATTGTGGTCCTATCCGCGGAACGGTCGTTCACGCCTCAGTTCCTAATCCTCCTCGGGAGTTCCCGCGGATGAGTTCGAGACCATATAGGTCGACTGTAATATTGCTGTGCACCCTTTTTTAACGAGTGTTAAAATTTGTTACTCCTGAAAAGGTGTTAGCACCAACCAAGGCTCGTTAAAGCAGAGGTGAATGTATGTGTGCGGTGCCGTTTTGATGTGATATCACGCAGGATCCGATGCATGTGCACTGCGCGTTGACCATTTCAAGAGGCTCCCTCATATCGCTATGGGGTTAAAAGGGCGCGTTCGTGGCATCGAGCAGCAGTGAAGAAACCGGGTTTGGTCGGCGCCCCATCAGTCGTTGTTTACACGGATAGACGACAGAATACGGCTATATAAACCTGAGCAGTTGTGACGGCAAGGGGAATATACTGACGAGGCATTGTGAGCCATAACGCGCATTAACTAGTACCCTGGTAATCGAGCAACCCCTAAAATTGTATACATGACCGTATATTTCCGCGTACGTGAGTGTGTATGTTTGCGAATGCTGTGCAACGTGTGTGCAATGTGAAATTTTCGGATTGCGATACAAACAGTTTAATATGGCTGCCTGGTTCCCACATTTGGTTTACCTGGAAAATGCTAAACCTGTCCCCCTTCTCGCACACGCCGTGATCGACATCGGTGTCGGACGGGCGTGAATTTGTCAAAGTCACGAACGTTGAAGTCGCCTCATGCATTTGCGTAAATATCGCTGAAATCCGTGCGGCAGTCTTTTCCCTGCGTGTGACCAAACTATTCAACTGCGTACAGACACACATGATGACACAGACGTACGATCAGGAATGTGTGGACTATGTGTTAGATAATATTGGAATCATGGAGAATCACCATGTAACGGCTCAGAGAGCGTGTCAAAACGGAAATTCGAGCTGTAAGCGCTTTAGCTGTCAGCCTCAAGCATCATAAGATATGGAAGTCCAACTTACGAAGCATCCCCATTTTGCGGTGTATTCGGCGCAGCTGTTTCGACAACCGATGTAGTTTACATTCGGTCGCTAAACTTTATTCCCCTACCGTTCATTCCTTCCGTGCCATCGCCTTGTCTATCCGCCTATTCTCTCCATCACGTCTATCTTACTAGCGTTTCTAAAAGTTTGTTTCTTGCTACGTGCATATGGTGGTTCTGTGCGTCCTGTATCTGGAGAATTTGTGGAGTGGTGGGTGTTTTTCACGATGTTATTGTGCCTGTCATTCTCCGCTTTACCATGCCAGGGAGTTGTGTGGTCTCACTTTTTGCAGGGCGTTGCCTTCATGGAAAATGCATCCCCAGGCAAATAGATGTGGCATAAATGCAGTGTTATTAGGAAAGCAGCTGCTTGAGTTTCTCACTTAGACATTGTATGCATGCAATCCATCAGAGCTCTGCTACAAGTGACAGTATGGGCCATGCAGTCTTCAAAGATGGCATTTGTTTCAAGGATGTGCAGAGACAGATGCTGTTTTCCATTTTATTCATTGTCCACAAGTGGTGTTTGTATAGTTCCATCAGATGTAACTTGCATTGGCAAGTAACTGAAAA